AGTTGTGTACAAAAGTCAGTTTAGCTGCTACAGTCCTGAAAGCAATGAAATCTCTAAAAACCATCATGCCATGCACAGCCCAATACGGAATCAATTTATCAGGCCTCGGAGTAGGAGAAGATAAGAGTATTGTGCACGTTTCTCCAGCCATGAGATTACAGTACCATGCCCCCCATTTTCCTCCCCTCAAAGTAAATATAAATGGCCAACAGCTTGCCTCCAAAAATCCTCCAGTTAGAGGGAATAAAAAATACTTCTAAATAAAAGTCTTAATATTTTATTTCAAATGCTTAAGCCAGTGATCTCCAACCTTTTTGCACCCAAGATCACTTTTTAAATGACAGAACAAGTCAAGATCTACCGCCCCACCCCTTCCTTGAAGCCCTGCCCTCTCTAGTCTCCTCCTTTCCATCACCTCCTACCCACAACCCTTATGTTGATGCTTCCCCCCCCCCCTCAATTCTTCTGTAGGAAGAGGTTTTTCCAACATTTGGCCTGTCTAGACTGGACCAAATGTCAGAAAAAGAAGAGGTTACTTATCTCGTAACTGTAGTTCTTAGAGATGTGTTGCTAATGTGCATTCTGATTAGGTGTGCGTGTGCTGTGTGCGTGGATTCCAGAGCTTTTTTCCCCTTAGCAGTACCCATAGGGCCAGCAGGGAGCCCCCTGGTGTGGCACCAGTATACCAGTGCACATACACCTCTACTGGCCCCTCCATCCCCTCAGTTCCTTCTTGCCGGCTCCTTCTGACAAGGGGAGGTGGGTGGGATGCAGAATGAACATGAGCAACACATCTCAAAGAACTACCATTACGAGGTAAGTAATCTCTTCAAGTGCTTGCTCATGTCCATTCTGATTAGGTGAATCCCTAGCCATTCCCCTGGAGGCTGGATCGGAAGTTGACTGACTATAATTCCGTACTTCTGCAGATCTTAGGACTGCCCTCCCCACAGCAGCATCCTCTAGCCAGCTGCGTGATTGCATAGTGCTCTGCAAACATATGCACTGATGACCACATCGCTGCCCTACAGATTTCCAAGATCAGCACATGCGCTAGGAACGCTGCCGATGTCGCCTGAGCTCTCGTGGAATGGGCCATTATGTGCAGCGATTTGCCCGTGCCTTCACAGCATTCCAGGATGCAGGAAGTAATCCACGAGGATATACACTGTGCTGAGACTGGCAATCCTTTCATTCTTTCTGCCTCTGAAATAAACCATTGTGGTGACTTATGAAATTCTCGCATCCTGTCTATGCGAAACGCTAAAGCACTCCTAACATCCAGGCTCAGGGCAGGGGGTTCCAGTGTATGACAGGCTCAGATGTAGGCACTGGGGGAAAGGGGAGTGCAGGAGTATTTTGATGCTATGGCCAGATAGGGGCTTGGCCCCAATTTGGGGTTTGTTGGCCAGGCTTCATTTTTAAATAAAATACTGTCAAACAAAAAGTTTCTGCATTGTCTTTATTTCTGAGAAGGGCAGGGAACCTGTTTTGAGTCAGGTCACTGATCCAAGAGAAGTCAGCTGGGGCCACACAAGTGAGATGCAAAAAAACCTCCTCCAATCCCCCTCCCGGTGCCAGTGGGTACAGAGTTCTGCAGCAGGGGGCAAGGGAAGAGGGAACAGGGTGCTGGGGGGGCGGGGGTGGGGAGGACGACAGGTTTCTGCAGCAGGGGACAGAGTGCCAGTAGGGACAGGTTTTTGCAGTTAGGGACACGGAAGCGGGGACAGAGTTAGGGAAGTGGGGAGGGAAGCCGGCGTGTGCCTCCTCCAAGCCCGACTCCCCCGTGACGCAGGGAAACCCCGCGCACGCCTGCCCCGGGGCTGGAAACCCCCATACGCACCTGCCCCGGGGCCCGAAACACCCCCGCTCTCCATAGCAGAGAAACCCCACGTGCGCCTGACCAGGGACGGACTCACCCCTCCTGCGCCGGTGCTGGGAAGTCATCATGCTCCTCCTCTGGGACCAACACCTCCTCCCGCAGCGCGCCCGGCAGAGCAGTCAGCGCACTTCTGGAACCCTAAGCTGTGGGACTTCCGTCCACCCATGGGAAGCCGGCACTACCTCCATTTTCGCTGGAGGTATGTAGTGGGGCTTCTCGGTGGGGGGGGGAGGGGGAAGAGAGGGCGCGCAGACACCTCACGATCAACTGGTTGAGGCCTCGGGATCAACCAGTCGATCGTGATCGACCTGTTGGTGACCATGGGCTTAAGCTATATGATCCAATGGTGATTGTAACAATAGGAGTTACCCACTGTAACTTAAACACAGAACTTCAGGCCACGCTGAACTGCGTGTTACAACAACAACAAAAAGCTTATTAATTTCTGAGCACACAATGGATAAGAACACACACTCTCAGTTCAGAAGTAACTGCACCTCTAACTCCTTTGTGGTCTATTTGAGAATACTCCCTCACCAGGCTCAGACCTCTAGTCACAGCTGTCCAAGCAATAACTTACCTCCCTCAGTCTGCACCAGGCATCTAGATCAATGGTGAGCAACCCACGGATCGTGAACCCCAAGGGCGTCGTGGATGTCTTCAAGGGGGGCTGCCTATGGCTGGGCCCAGCACCTTTGGATTTAAGCGCCGCGCCACTCAAATGATCTTGGGGGTCATGACACCAGTATGGGGGGCGGCGGTCACACCACTGATCGAGATGGAGGAATTTTAGCCACATGTAATCATATTAGGAAGTATGATGTGACTGTCACACATGGTCTTAGGTTTTCCAATAACCAGACAGACATCAAACTGTAGTACATTTAAGACAAAAATCATTGCAGAGAATGAAAACAAATTGGCGCACATGCGCACCCCCCCTCCCGCCCGCACTCTCCTATCTTACAAGATGCCAGATGAAGGCTCTGGCAGGTCTGTCCAACTTTTGACAGTTCTTTGTTCTAGCCCCATGGTCACCAACCAGTAGATCGTGAGCTACCGGTAGATCTCAGGGGCTCTAAGAGTAGCTCTTGAGCCCTCTCTGAACTGCGTGCCTGCGCAGTACATTTACACTAGATTTCCTCATTTGAGGAGCAGCTACTCACCGAGCAACAACACAGGTGAGTAGCTGCGAGGAATTGTGGGAGCTGGGAGGTTGGAAGGGCTGAAACACCCCAGCCAGCTGACTGTGGCTTTCAGCTGAAAGAGGCTTCCCAGCGCTCCAGCTGATCGGCGGCTTCTTCTCTGCACCTGCCCATGTGGAGTTTGGTGCACCCTGGCTGAGTGCCATGGCCAGCTGGCCGGGCAGCCACTTTTCTTCCCAGCCCGGCTGCCCTGCCCCCAGCCCCGGG